GGAAAAGTGCAACCAGCGTTCTCCTTGGAGGCGAGGATGGCAAAGCTTTGCTTCTCATACTTTGAACATGTTGCTAAGAGAAGCTTGGAAAGGGACCTCAAGCTTTGAAAGATGAAGAATCAACGATGGAGAAGACACTCAAGAGATGAATGGACATGGCAACTACAGCCATGGGCTCGAGTGTGTCAGAGATGCTGAGGATGGCACAGGATAGGACAGGTTCAGATCTGTTGTTCATAAGTTTTTTGGGAATTGTACTTAATTTGACGACACCTAGCAAACACCCCCACCCTGATGAGAGTTTGCCGGTGAACACACACAGTGAGAAGACACTTTACTGTCTGGACAAAAATGACAGATAATCCTAAATATTAGTGAGTGGAAGGAGCCCTGATGATGTGGTTTATAATCTGTCAGGCTGCTAAGAAAAAAAGTCAGCTGTTCAAACCCATCAGCTGAGGAGAAAGATGGGCAGTTTCCCCTTTAGAAAGGATGTGCAGCCTCAGAGATCTGACGGAGGATTCCTATGAGCCAGACTCCACTTGATAGCAGTGGATTTTGGTTCAATCATCCGGGAGCTCTGTTGTATTTGTGGAACAGATTGATCTACAGCTTCCTAAAAAGAGAATGATCATCCAAGTCAACACGTGCACCTACAGACAGCTCTCGGGAGGTCTCCTTGGGTCTTTTGTAGAATTTGCTGCCTGTCAAATACATCCTACCTCCTGGCCAGACTGAGGGTAGAACCTGGGGCACTGTTACCCTCTGACCCGACCCTGTCCAGAGTCGTGCTTGGACTTAGCTGGGCACTTTTACCAGAGATCCTGCGACAATGACCATGTGCCCCAACACAGAGCAGAGCAGATTTGGGTGAGGCCCAGAGGGGGCTAGATGGGGAGCCTGGACTGCTGGGCCTCTGTAAGCCAGCGACTGTGTTGGCATTACACACATTCCTTGGATAAAATAAATACCAGCCTTTGTGTGGGAAGGGCTGGTGTTTAGTTGTTATACACGGCATTGTAAAGCGCTGAGCAGGCTTAAGCCAGGGCCTGGAGAACAATGTGAGTGGACGCAGACCCAGCCACTCCAGGGAGCCATCGCTTCCTGCCTACCACAGGGCTTTTCAAGGATTTACAAAACCCCTGACAGGCCCTTTTTGTGTAGACATGAGAGGAAGGTAATCTCAGAGACTGTGGCCTATAACCTCACTCTACACACACACACACACACACACACACACACACACACACACGAACTACACATACACATCTACACCCAATCCCCCTGCCATCTACACCACACACACTCCCAAACCAGAACCTATTCCATTGAGTGAATTCTGTCCTGCTATGACAGAGTAGAATTGTCCACCAGTTTTCCAGGACTGAATCTTTACAGAAGCAGACTGCCTTGTCTGTGGAGTAGCTGATGGGTTTGAATCATTGAACTTTTGGTTAGTAACTTAATGATACCATTAGGATTCTTTTCTACACATATACTCATGTGCATATGCACATGTATCCACATACATATGCAAACACCACTCACATCTCATACTTAGGCACACACAAAGATATACACACATATATATACATATACACCCACACAAATATACACATAAGACACAGATATGTATGCATACATACACACATATTTATACACAAGAACATATATTGACCTTTACACACATATGTGCACATATGCAGACACACACACACACACTCTGACTAAAGAAGAAGAAACCGGACATAAGGGCAAGGGACCATGAATGTCTCTCTGAAAGGGCCAGAGGGAGTAAGAATAGCATAGCCCCTCACTGCTCCAGAGCAGAAAGCAGGTAAAGACCAAATAGCCCACCCAGCTCCATGGTCCCTCTAGAGCCCTACCTGCAGCAAGAAGTTAATTTATTCATTGTTGACTAACAGATTCACAGTTAATGTATCAACAATGGGGTTTATTAGGGAAGTGAGTGGGGGAGGCAAAGAATATGTCACAATACAAGTCCAGGCTTTAGCCCAAGAGTGCCAAGGCATAATTTCTCACTAAGTCCAGGCTCTGGTTTCAGTTCAGCAGTCAAATCCAAATCATTCATTAAAGTTTGCCTCAAAGCAGTTATAAATCAGCTTCTCCCTCAAACATCTTGCAAGAACAGCCAAACTTTTAACCGTGGTCAGCACAAATGCAAGAAGCCTCAGGTCATACCTTGCCACTGTTTCTCCACAGCAGTGTCACAATCTCTCCACCACCAGGGTCTTGGTTTCACCAGGGTCTTGCTGCCACAAGTCTTGCTTGACTCTATTGCCGCCCAGTGTAGGAAGCACTCTTTCTCTTATCCTAGTCCCACAGCTGATGGTGATTTGCAAGATCATGCTGATTTGCAAGACCATATGTCTGTAGTTAAGGTGTAGCTAGAGACCAGAGGGGACTAACTTATGGCTTTAAAAAGGCCAACATTTAGGCTAACACCACACACACACACACACACACACACACACACACACACACACACACATGGTGGATTCTTACCATCAACCTTCAATTCCCAGCGAGTGAATTGTCTACACCACCCAGGAATTCTTCTTGGTCTATTTATTCGGTAATTTAATAAGGATCATGATAATAACCATGAATAATCATTATTTTGTGACTTGCTCTTCAATTTTAAAATAATGATTAACAATTAGGAAGAAGAATGTGCTTCAATTATAAAGGCATTGTTGAGTTGCAGTGAAATATTTCATGCATGAATAGCCATTTGCACTAAACAATCATCATGCCTCACAGTCTGTGCTTGGTTTCATGGTTTTAATATTTCAACACAAATAAAAGGTCTGAGAGGTCACACAGGATGACAGATAGGAATAATCTCTGCTGTTTCTTCGTGCACACTGTTAGTGTTTATTTGAAATCTATTTAGACTCAGGGACTCCCCAAACTGCAGGGCCTGTAGTCATAACTGGCCTGAGGTCCTCAACTCTACCATAAAACCTGCTCTCAAAACAGTGCTTGTAGCGAAGCTTGCTCACCTGGGTGATGGTGCCACAGGGAATTCCTCAGGATGGGTTCCACATAGTGTACAACGTCTACAAAAGGATACAAAAGAGTTTTCAGAGGCTATGAATCACGTAGGAGGAGATTTCCCATCTTTCTTGCTTGGAGCAGCTGGTAGACTAAAGCCGCCTGCCTCCGGGTTGGCGGCAGGGCTCCCTACCCACTAGGCCACCAGAGCTCCTTTATCCTTCAGGAGCTTGAGTTAACACCTTTTGTTTTATTTGTGTGAAGGCTTACAAGCCATCCTGGTTTTCCATACAATCAGTCATGGATATTTTGTTTTAGAACATTACTCGCCATTGATTAACGTGGTTAATAATTTACAATGTCCAATCGATTTCTTACTCCTCATTGCCTTTCCCTTTACCCAGTGTATCGCTCAGTTTTTATTCCCCTCTCCTTCTCTCCCTTCTCTACTAACCATCCAAGAATGGTTCTGTGTGTAAAACTCTACATTTAGAGTTTTCACTATCAGGGACCTTTGGGAAAGATCCCTGGTGGCACAGTGGTGAAGTGCTCAGCTCCCAAAAGAGAGTCTGGTGGTTTGAACTCACCAGCAGCTCTTTAGGAGACACGGCAGTGTGCTCCTGTTTGCTCCGGTATGACTCCTTGTAACCTGACTAATGATATCTGCAAAGATCCTATTTCCAAAACGAGGTCACATGTGTAGATTGAGGGGTTAGTACTTCAGCACTTGTTTTTTGGGGGCACAATTCAGCCAGAAAGATTCAAGAGGCCAGGGTTATAGATACTTTTTTAGTTTCTCCCCTGTGCTTCCCATTGTTCCTGAGACTTTGACAATGACTGAGGGTGATAGAAGAATCAATGCCTTTGAGTTGTGGTGCTGAAGAAGAGTATTGAGGATACCACAGACTGCTAAGAGAACAAACAGGTCTGTCCTGGAGAGAGTGAAATCAAGCTGCTCCCTGGAGGCAAGGATTTTGAAGTTCTGTCTCATATACTTTGGCACATGGCCAGGAGGGACCAGTCCTTGGAGAAGGACATCATGCTTTGAAGGGACAGCACAGGAAACGAAAACCCTAATGAGATGGATTGACTCAGTAACTGTGGTAATGGGGTAAGTGTGTCAGAGTCAGTGAGACTGGCTCAGAATAAGACAGTTCAGAGCTATTGTACATAGGGTCAGTATGGGTCACAGGCAACTCGCTGGCACCTAACAGCAGCAGCAGCAGCAGCAGCAGCAACAATATGCTACGTTCTGTAACTATTGACTCATTCCTGTTGGAACCAGCTTTTAGCTGACCATCCAGCTGGTTTCTGAGGCTGTCAGTCACACAGGAGGTGATTGCCTATCTTTCTCCACAGGAGTCCTAGTGCATTTGAACTGACAGAGAGGCATGGTCTTCAGGTTAATAGTGCAATTCCCTATGGATTACTTCACCAGAGTTCCTCTCTATAACCAGAAAGAAAAAGAAAAAAGAAAGAAAGCAGTTCTGTGCTAGAGAAACACTGTTCTCTCCCTACATAGCTGTGAGGTTCGGGGGCTTGAGGCTTACCTTCTGTGCCTTCGTGTCTCATCCGCGTGAGGTTCATGAACACCACCTCCCATGTGGCCATGAGGACTCTACACATAGGGCACATGGCTGCCCTGTGTATCTGGTCACAGATCCAGCCAGCCCAGCGAGTTGACAAAGGGGTCATTTGTGAACCTGGGCTGGCAGGACCCTGTGGACAGCAGTCCCTGGGGATGGTGGTCCTCAAGGTGGCCTGGGCAGGCCTGAGCTGACTCCAGGCTGGCCATGGCTGTCCTCTAAGGCCGGTATTGGTGGGTGCTCTGTCCACACTGCTCTTCAGTGCAGCCCATGTTTCTGCTGACGAGGCATGAGCTCATGTCTTTCCAGAGAAATCCCTTAATGCCTCCATTCTGTCTGAGCCGTATATAGGGAGGCCGGCGAGCCAGCTCCACACTGCTCTGCCCAGTCTGCCTGCCTGCTCACCAGCCTCCAGTCCCGCGGTGCCGACATGGACGTCACTATCCAGCATCCTTGGTTCAAGCGCGCCCTGGGGCCCTTCTACCCCAGCCGGCTGTTTGACCAGTTTTTCGGCGAGGGCCTCTTTGAGTATGACCTGCTGCCCTTCCTGTCCTCCACCATCAGCCCATACTACCGCCAGTCCCTCTTCCGCACCGTGCTGGACTCTGGCATCTCTGAGGTAAGACCCTCTGGCTCTGATCGTCGGTGGGAGGCCCTGGGAGAGACGAGAAGCTGGGGTTTCTAAGCGCCAGTCCGGGCCAGGGCGCTCCGGATGCTGCACTTGCCTCTACTCACCTGGCAGCCCAGGAAGCCTGGCTGGCCGCACCGCTAGGAAGGGGGGTTGGAAGAGAAGGCCACGCTGAGCCCAACATTCTCTTTTCCTCCATCAGCTCATGACCCATATGTGGTTTGTAATGCACCAACCACATGCTGGAAACCCCAAGAACAACCCCGCCAAGGCAAGTCTGGTGGCAGATGCGAGTTGTCTGCGTTCAGCTGCTTCCCGTCCTTTCCCTTCCAAGTCGAGGAGGTCGGGGTGTGGGTGGGGGTGCTTCCTCTCACAGCCACAGCGGAGCGCAGCCCACCTCCACCAGCACCGCGCAGGGTCCAGAAAACCTGAGGCCAAAGTCAAAGGAAACTCCCCGTCCCCGTTCTGAGCCACAGGGTCCATTGTCCTGGAGAGCTGGAGTGCAGAGTATGAGCCCAGAGCTGACCCAGTTACAGTCAGCTTAGGGCCCAGAGTGCCTCAATGGATGCTCTGAGCAAGAGAAGTGCAGGCAGTACGTAAGAAAGGGCATTGTGTGGATACGGCCAGGCACTGGACAGGCTACAGGCAGAGAGGAAAGACAGGGCAGTACTGCTTATGGACAGACAAGTGGAGCCGAGGACAGGGCCCTGAGCCCAAATGTGTAGTTCAACTGGTCAACCGACCCACAGCTAGCCAGCTCACCCATAGCCAGCCACCCTGCCATAGCTAAACAGAGACCCAACTCATGATAAATCAACCCACATTCAGCCTCCCCCGCCCCATAAGAAGTCAGCTAGTTAAGCCATAACTATCCATCCTATCCAACCATCAGTCCAAGCCATTACCAACCAACCCAGCTTCCCATAACGGGCCTGCAACCAGCCTCGGCAGGAGGCCCCGCTGGAGGGACAGGTTAGCACAGCACGCAGCTTGCATCCTGGTCGCTGGGAGCACAGCCACCACACCCCCGCTGTGAGCCTGCGGCCCCCAGGGGAACCCACACGGGGCGTTTGGGTTGCAGGTCCGGTCCGACCGGGACCAGTTCCTCATCCTCCTGGATGTGAAGCACTTCTCCCCCGAGGACCTGACGGTGAAGGTGCTGGATGACTTTGTGGAGATCCACGGCAAGCACAATGAGAGGCAGGTAAGGCTGTGGCACAACAAGCTCCGGGGCCTGGACCCCACGGCCCAAGGGGAGCAGGAAGACCTCTGGGTCACTCCTGCAGACAGGCAGTGATTGGCTTGGGGCTCTGGGATCTGATGGAGTGCAGCTGAGACCCCTAGATCAAACGTGCTCTGAGCTGTCACGTTTCCCATTCTGACCACAGGGAGGGATTAGAGAGGATCCCAGGGGCATTCAGTGTCCAAGCAGCAACCAAAGCACATGCAACTCACCTTTGGAAGGTGACCGTGCCTAATCAGTGCTCCAAATGCTGCAAATGCATTGTGGTCAGAACTCAGAGTGCCGCGATTTCACAGAACAGGGCTGAGACCCAGAGGCATGGTCTGCTTAAGGCCTCAGGCTTGTACAAGACAGAGGGAGGTCTCTCCAGCGGTCAGCTGCTGCCTACTCTGCTGTGTGCCTTGCTCTGCAGCAAACTTTGCTTGTTTGGTCGCCCCTGACCTCTCTGAACCTACAGCTGGATTTGGCTTGGGGAGAACAGAGAGCAGTGCAGTGTGGGGGGTGGCACCGTGCTGTTGATGGCACAGCCACAAAGGGGTGTGGAGGGGAGAGGCCCAGGTGGGAGAGTGCTAACACCAGTCTTCATTTCCTCCAGCTCAAGGCTTTTCCTTGTTGAAAAAGTGGTTGGTAGTTCAGGGTGGTGGAGCTCAACTCTTTCCTGTAACTTCTCTCTCGTGTGGGATCCAGTAAACAAAGAAATCTGGTTTCTTGGAATTGACTTCCTTTGTGGTGACACTATGTGTGTTGGAACAGAATGGTGTTCTACTGGGTTTTAAATAGCTGGGCTTTGGAACTAAATTGTCAGACCTTTCTTATGAGGAACCTCTTGGTAGACTTGAACTTCTGTCCTTTTAGTTAGCGGTCAAGCACATTAATAGTGTGCCCCAGAGGGTCTCCTTCGGGCTGAGTAAGCCCTTGCTAATTCTACTTACTCATCACAACCCAGGACCTCCTTCTTGCATGCTGAGCTCTTGGCTTCCCATCCAGTAGAGAAGGAGCCTGGAGATGGAATGAATCTGGGGTCCAGGCTATGTGCAACAGTGGCTTTGTGAGCCTGCAGACTGAATATAGGCAGTGTAGAGTGGAGCAGAATCTGTGCAGGTCATGGGGAAGGGGAGAGCAGTCAATTCTGGTGTGAAATAACTCCAGCTGCAGAGTGCACAGTGAGGCCAGCCACGGTGGGTTCTTGGAAGACTCAGACGTGAGGTGGTTGTACATTTTCAGGTTTCGCTCCTTTGAGAGGTGGCCAGGCCACTACTCCGCAATGTGTGAGAGTGAGGAAGTACAGTCAGGGCTCTTATTTGCAAATTCACTGATTTGCTAATAGATAATTATAATCCCCAAAGTAATATGTACTGCACTTTTCCCACTCATTCATGGAAATGCGAGTCCCTCCCAGCTAAGGCACAGGGACGCTCTGCCTTCTTGCTTCAAAGCGACCTTTTCATGGTCTTTGTAGTGCCATGTTTTCCCCCTCCCCATTTTTGTGCTTTTTGTTGGTGATTGTGCTATTTAAAATGATTTTCACACATAGCAATGCTGCCTAATGTTTCTAAGCATAAAGCGGGGAAAATACAACACAACAAAACAACCCGTGTTGATAAGCTCCACTCAGGCTTGGGTTATGGTGCTGTTGACTGTGAGAGGAATGTTGATGAATCAGCATTATATTTTTAAGAAGCCCAAGCACCCATTTACTGTCAAGCCAGCTCACAGCTCAGGACAACCTCGGGTCTGTCAGAGTAGGACTGTGCTCAGGGCTTCTAAAGACTGATATTTCCAGAAACAATTTGCTAGGCCTTTCTTCCAAGGCACCAATGGGCAGACTCAGCTCTTAGACTTACCAGATAGTTGGGCACATCAACTCTTTGTACCTCTGGGGACATTCAAGTACCTTAAAAATGTGTTCTCAAGCAGAAACATATATGAAAAAAGGTTATGCCCTGAATGGTTGACAGAAAGGTTGCAACCAGAGGCTTCTGGGACTTTCACCTTTCATTTCCCCTGCATCAGTGGTTGGTTCTGATTTTGCTGATTCAGTATTCACGGTGGCTTCACAGAACAGAACTACCATGGATAAAAACTTAAAACTCTTGGGAGGAGTACTGGAGACTGGGAGCTCTTCCTACCCTGCCCTGGAGGCAAATGTATATAGACTTTAGACTGCCCGTGGTTCAGTGGGGCCTTCCGTGGCGCAGAGGATGGCTGACCCCTTAATGCTGGCGCACCTTTGACCACTCCCTTTCCTGTCACCCTGGCCCCGTCCCCTGTCCCAGGATGACCACGGCTACATCTCCCGTGAGTTCCACCGCCGCTACCGCCTGCCCTCCAACGTGGACCAGTCGGCGCTCTCCTGCTCCCTGTCTGCGGATGGCATGCTGACCTTCTGTGGCCCCAAGGTCCAGTCTGGCATGGATGCCAGCCACAGCGAGCGGGCCATCCCTGTGTCCCGGGAGGAGAAGCCCAGCTCTGCACCCTCATCCTAGATGTGGCAGCGGGCCGGGCTGTTTTGCTGGCAGCCCTCCCTCACACGTTGGTTCCCGGGAGACTGTAGAAAAGAAGGGGTGTTTGTTCTTCCTCTGCTTTCCTCTCTTTTGTTTCTTTTCCATCTTCTCAGATGGGGTGAGGTTTGAGAGTAGCTAGTAGACCTCAAGACCTTGGTCAGAGGTGCTGTGTCCTCCAGGTGACCCAACCCCGGCCAGTAGAAGTGACTGTCACCCACACTTCAGTAGGTAACATGCCGGTGCTAGAAGGCAGAAGGGGATTGATCAGCAAGCCCTACGATCCCCTGCGAAGGGCATCGGTTTGGGGAGGGAATGGAGAGAAAACAGTTCCTAGCTGAAGTGTCTCAGGATGGCTTCTGGGTTTCTAGCCGGGTCTACCTTGGTGCCAGAAGGGCCACGTTCCCTTGGCAGTGCCTGTCTCAGGTCCTGGTGCACATCCTGCCCAGGTGTGCCCAGGGGTTGTGAGGATGGCATAGCAGCTGCAGCAGCAGCAGCACCTCTGCGGTCTGGGCTCTTGCAGCCCGCTTCTCTCAGACTGTCACCCCTCGACCCTTCCTTCCTCTGTGTAGCACCACTCTGGGGCACTGGTCACCTCATGAGCTTGCAGCCCGGGCAGTCAATAAAGAACGGTGACACGCAGCTGGAGTCTGTGCATTCTGTCTCCACGTTTGCACTCATGGGCGGAACCTTCCCCCACCCCCACCCTCCTCAAGTTCACCGCACCTCCATGGTCTGGGGCCACCCGCTTCCCTCCCAATCCTGGGACACCTTATTCTGTGGGGGAGATGAGAGTCTCCAGGTGAAAAGGCTTCCAAGAACTGAAAAGTGAGGGGCGGAAGAGAGAGGGGGAGATCTGGCACTTCCTCTCAGGCCTCCTTGGGGCCCAAGAGTCAGGTTGTCTCCCACCTCAATCATTTCCTGTCTGGAGAGGGGATACCCTCGTCTGTCTCCAAATCCACCCACCACTCCTCAGGGCATGCAGCTGAGCTGGTGACCAGACCTCACAGCCTTCCACTGTGAGCACATCACGGGCTTCCTAAGCTTGAGCGAATCCCAGACACCCTACTCCCTTCATCTGTGAAGCAGACTTCTGACGTGGGGAGGGCTGTGGTTACACCCCAGAGAATATCAGCCTTCTCACTCGCTCCTTTATTCCCCCCATGGGACGGGGTTGGGGAGTCAAGCAAAGCCTTCGAGCTGGGGAGGGACAGGAGTCCTGAGGTTAGAGGGAGCCCATGGGGGAGCAGTCCTGAAGTTCATACCGTGGGGGACTAAGTGTGACCCTGGGACGTGGAAAGGAGCAGGGGCTATGGTGGGGGTGGCACCACCACACTGCCAGGCTCAGGAAGGGTCCCCTGGGGAGGCAATGCTGTCCTGTCATCCTGAGATGACAGCAGAAGGGGCTGCTGGGAAAGAATTCAGAACGCCCAGCAGGGGGCAGAAAAGGGTGAAGAATAACCCCAAACAGCCTCAGTTGATGAAATAATGCCCCAAACCCACCCCCTACCGCTGAATGAATTCTGAATCACGGTGACTCTCTTGGAGCTTCTTAGGCTGTGAAGCTTGAGGAGTCTCCCCATCAGGCCCACAGTTAACCCGATCCTTCTCCACTGCTCCTTATGATGACATGTTGTGGTTGCTCTGTGTCCTTGACTCTGGGAACGACAGATCCGAACCTTGCCCCCTATCCTGTGCCATCCTCACGTGGCCGACACGCTTGAGCCCTTTGTAAAGCCACTGTGATGATCCGTTCTGCTGAGGGTCTTCTCTTTTTCTGACTTTTCACTTTTCTTGAGTAAAAGAAAACACCCCCCCCCCCCATCACATTCAGTCACATACATACTCACACTGGCTTGCTCACTATCTCACACCCATGCACACTGGAGTCTGTTCTGTTACTCTGGGCGTGGCTCTGTGGAAAGACACCCCCCCCACTGTAATGAGTCTAGAGCCCCTCCCACCCCCTTCCCAACCCCTCCCAGAGCCAAAGCCTTCCCCACTGTTTGACCCACCCCAGGAGCGAGGAGTGGGGAAGAGTTGTTTGCGCCCTGAGGAAGTGTCTCAGTTAGAGGCTGCGACAGGATGTTCTGGCACTTTGGCCTCTGAGTCGCCCTGCTCTTCCGTGTCTGCACCAGGCCCAAGTCCTTGGCTGGCCCTTCTCCAGGCAGACGCCCCTCTGGAAGGCCTGGTGGGTATGGGGCCCGGCAGGGCTGCAGCCAGAGAGGCAGCTGTTGTTGCACTGTGAGGACACAGCCTCACCAGGAGACGGTCCTAGACTGATCCTGCACAGAGTTTGGAGCTGCAGAGCTTTCTTGGGGTGCAGCCTGCTTGTCCTTTGGGGGTCCCCCCACTAGCTTCTGGCCTATTGGCTTAGGAGGGGTGCAGGGTCCCTATCTCACTGGGCCCCTGAGGCAGAGCAGTTGTGATCTTTCACTTCTCTCTCCTGAACCCCTTGATCAACCCCCTGGGTTCTCCATTCACAACCCCCACCCTGCCACATTTCTTAAACTGGGGTGCGCTGGAGGCCACGGCCAGGGGCTGTTTTGTGCTCTGAGCCAGTTTCGGGCTTCCAGGGTGCTGACAGCCCTTCACAGAAGGGCTGCTACCCAGAGAACCAGACTAGCGCTCCCTCACCCACCTGCAGTCACTGTGCCCAGTCCCTGCAGCCGAGGGGTCTGCTGCCCTGGGACACTCCCTACCCCCTCTACCCCCAGCCACCACAGCTCCTGTTGAGTCAATAGTTAGGGTCCTGTGAGCCAAGGTCTAATCCCACAGAGTGGTCTAGTGTTAAGAAGCTTCACTGCAATCCTACGGGCACACGGTTCAAATTCAACTGGTCAGCTGAAGAAGAATGGGACATCTCCTCCCTTGGGAGTTATTACCTCTGAGAGCCCGCTAGACTTGTCAGCTATGGGTGGGCTCTGACTCGAGGACAAATAACAACAACAACTGCATCCCTGAGGTTGGCATCGCTGTCCTGACAAGAGGTGGAGTTTGGCTGGAGCTAATTCCAGGCCATTCAGCCAGGCTGGGAAACACCATCCCCTCCCAAGTTGTGCCTCATGGGTCCCAGGAGGTGCTGACTCTGCAAGTCACAGGCAGGCCTGGCTGTCACTAGCTTTGGCTGCAGGCCATGCTAAGTCGAGCTCAGGAGTAGAGAATACAGCTTGGGACACACCGCTGGTCTGCCCTTTAGGAGTGTGACCTGCCCTCTACGTCCCCTGACACAGAGCACTTTCTCCTGCCCAGTGCTGCCTCCACAGATGGCTTCAGGCCAACCTTCATGAGCTTGGCTGCTAGAACAAAGGGTGATTTACGTTCACCAGAGGTGCTTCGGAAGAAAGACCAGGTGATCCACAACTAAAAAGTGAGCCATTGAAAGCACTTGGAAGCTTTGTCCTATTCTGACACAGGTGGGGTCACCATGAGCGAATTTACTTGACGGCATCTGGCTTGGTTTTCAGAAAGCAAGAGGGGTATTTGCACCTGGCCTCCTGCCAGGCTCACCTGAGCCATCTGGTGCTGAGCATGGGGCACCTCACGTGCATGGTGGCAAAGTGACTCCACTCCTGCTGCCCGTGTCTCTGCCAGTCGGCACCCCGTCTGAGTTTCACCTTCACCTTTCTGCTCTCTTCTTCCCATTGCTCACCTGGCCTCTGAAGGCCTCTGTGGTCTGGCTGCTCCTGCCTTTATGGAATGTTCCCTGACTCTGTTGGGATGAGTTTGAGTTCAGGTCAGAAGAACCCTCCCTCACAGCCACGTCCTAGCTGTGCAGCCTAAGACACATAACAGTCACCTTGACAAAACCTGGAAAGGTGGAGTGATTGGTATTCCCCAAACCTACCGGGAGTGAAAATTCCCCAAGTGCTTCATAAAGTATGCAGAGTCCCGGTGAGTAGAGCCTTTGATGATCCTGCTGGGTGATTAAAGATGAGGCCAGAGGGGGAAGTACGGGGTCACTTAAGGCAATAGTAGTAGCCACTGGCAGGTGGGGCAAGTGGAAGGGCTGAGAAGCCTCATGGGAACTGCTCGGTGCAGGTCCCTGCTGCTGCGTCGGCATCCTCTCTTCCTCCTGGAGTCACATGGTTCTGGAGCAAAAGTTATCCACTTGCCATCATCACCCTCACCATCAATGCTGCCACCACCATCACCATCAGCAATGGCATCACCACCACCATTACTATCATAATCATCATCATCATCACCCCTGCATCAGCGTTATCATCCCTACTGTCAACATTAGGAAGCTCTGGTGGCCTAGTGGTAAGAAGCTGTACTGCAATCTCAAAGGTACAAGGTTCGAATCCCAGCGGGAAGAAGGATGAACAATCTCCTCTCGTGCATTTAACTGCCTCTGAAAATCCTCTGGAGGGTCAGCTATGGGTCTGTTCCAACTTGACAGCACATAAAAACAACAACAACAACAATTGCTCTAGCCATCATCATCACTTCCATCACCACCACCATCATCACCATCACCTCTACCACCACCACCATCATTACCATCAACAGCATCAGCAGTGGCAGGAAGAACAATGACTTAGCAGCTGTTGTGCTCTGGACACTCTATCAACCGCAGTAGATCCCAATGCGATCAGTACATGAGTTGAAAGCATTTGTTCATTGTTTGGCCTGGAAAGTGAAGTCACTAGCCAGTATCCTCTGCTGCTGAGAGCCTGGGCCAAATTCATCCTCCTGTGTTTGACTTCACAACCGTGGTCTGAATTCCCACTTGGATAACTATTAAAATGTCGCATGAACATGGGAGGAGGGAAGTACTGGAGCACCAGATAAGGCCGACTCTGATTCTAGTTTATCTGATGTGTTTGTGGGAAGATTTCATAATCCTTCTAAGAATCAGATTCCCCATACTACTCAGTTAACATTAAGTTGTACGCCGTTGAGTTGGATCTGGCTCGCTACTGACCCTCCAGTGGGTTTTCAGAGGCTGTAAATCACAAGGAAGGAGATTTATCATCTTT